CATATTCCCCAAGAGAACTGACAGCACAAATCTTTACATGGCATGTATTTTTGAAAAGCAAGGAAAGCTCTTATTATCTTCATTGTGGAAAAGTAAAACCCAAACTCACTTGCATTAAGTTTTTTCAGCACACCAGTAGCTGAGACTGTATCCTCCATGCAATTATACTAATTTCCTCATCTTATTTATAAATAAAGCATATTAAAATCACAGATAATAGAAGACTTTATATTAGTGGATTTAAAATTAACTATTTTAGAAAAAAAATATTTTTAAAAAACATTGATACAAGTCATTACAGAGTTTTAAGAATTTGAGAGTGTTTAGAATATTAAGGGACAAAAGTGACATGACATTTTATTAACTGAAAAATTGACAAGAGAAATAGTTGTTCGAACAATCATGGCAAATTTTTTTTTTTTATTCATTTTGGCAAGATTCACTAACAATGAAGCAAAAAAGCAGATTCTTAAATAGAATTTTAGGCCACCATTTAAAAATTCCAGATAAAATTCAGTCATACCTGGTTTATGGATATGACTGAATAATCCTGTAAACAGTCATGATTTCTGGCTGGATTGTACATTTTTCACATAATTAGATAGTAGAAGTCTATACAGAGTTTACAGAGATACATTAAAAATGCAAGCTATTCTCGAATATACTGTTCTCCTAGAGATAACCCAACTATAAGCAGGTTGACACGATCTCTTCCATAGGATCAGAGTGAGAAGAGGTAAGAGAAAATATCTGTTGACTCCTTCAGTGCAGTGCCTCTAGGTACCTCTTTGGAAGAGGGATCTAAAAGTCCTTTGTGAGACAGACTGCTCCCACATCAGACCACCTGTTCCAACACAGTTAGGGCCTTACTTCTTGACACAACTGTGATCAGCTGCACCACTTCACTCCGGTTGCATTATTAACCTTGCTACTGAGGGGATGGGGTTCTGTACCACCAGTTAGCAAATGCTTCACACTCAAGATCCTTTGGGGCATGAGAAGATGGTTAGGGGTAGATGAGCTCCACCATTAAGTTTGTGTATTTGTTCTTCCTTTTACTAGGACACACGTGACTGCTCTGAGCACAACTGTTCCATTAGGGTAATTGCATAGCCAGCCAATACCACTGATCACTGATCAATATCACTGCTTAAGCATGGGATGAAGGCCAGATTACCCTAAAATGCAGGCAACCAGCTCTTACATTGCAAACCTTCCTGTCTCTGCTGACTGTTGAATTCTTGCATTTCTGTAAAATCCATCTTACTTTCTGACTTGTGCTTTGCATTCAAAAACTGACCACAGCAAAAATCAATGCCAGCCTATTAGAGGCTGAATCTGAAATTATTTAGGAACTGTCACAGAAAAGAAAAAAATTCTTCTTAGGCAACTGCTTGTCATTGAAAACCATCACAGGCACAAGGTACTTCCTTTCATTTAAGCACTGCAGCTATATTATGCAACATCTTCTGATTCTCAAAATGTCAGCAATACATTTGGACCCATATTCACTCCCAGTCAATAGAAATAAGAGACGAGAATTTCTGCAGCAGTATTTTGTTCACCAATCTTAGAAACATTCACATACAATGAACATGGTTTCAGCTGCCAATATACTGCTTTTTCTAAGAAAAAAAGAAAAGTTTTGGAAAAGTTAATATAAATTATGAAAAAATTAAATTATAAAAATGTGTGGGCAGACTTAATATGTTTCCTCAATGGTCTTTGTTCCCAAGTATTACACTAAATAGAGAAGAATTTCTCAGTGGGTTGTGCAGAAGAGTTCAGCCTTTTAAATTAGGCAAAATGCATAATTCAGTGCTGGAATATTATAAACACATATATTTGCACAACACGTATTGTGCATAATAGTTAATTTATATATTACGCATAGTAGTTAACTTACACATGCAAACCCCATTCAGGTCTATTTATGTGCACTGATCCTTATTGTGGAAGCAATGAAGAAAATATCAACATACTTACATGAATTGTGTTTCTGAAATTGAGGAGTATGAAGGAGATTAAAATAAATCCCCTGATTAGCAGAAATAACACAAACAGGCAGAATTTCAAATGTGCATCTCTGGACACTGTGAATGCCAAGAGATAGGTGTAAAATTAAGATACCATAAGGTTAATAGAAGAGGCAGGTTACTACACAGTATGACTGAGAACAAAAAGCATTCTTGGTTTGTGCCCACAATTATATATATATATGTAATATGACTAATGTCTAGCAATTCTAATATTGTAACTATTTCAAAGACTCTTGTGACAGCACGTAGAAAGTGATAGAAAGTGATATAGTCATCTTTTTCCTTCCCATCTTAAGCACAAATTCCATTTGAAGTAATCAAAGCAAAGCATGCTTTAAAAGAAATGGATCATGTTCTTATAGCAATTTTTGTTCTTATAGCATAATTTACATTTATTATCTATGAGTCCTTGATAAACAGGAATAAAAAATGTCTAAGAGGCAGACACTTATCTTTTACCTATTTTTTAAAGATATCTATCATTCTCCAATAAAATTTAAATAATGATGAATGCTCCTCTCCCTGAAGCCTTCCTATGATCTCTGCCAAATACAGTGCAAAATGCTGGCTGGTGGTCATCCCTCTGGCACTGGCAATATTCTTCCAGCAGGAAACCAACAGCAAAGTATTTTCAAACCCTTTTAAAATTCTAACATACATACTTTGCAAAAGAACACAAACTTTAGTTAATAAATCACAAGACATATCAATTAAAAGACACCATAGATGTAGGAAACCATTACAGTTTTTAACTGCAGGAATTACAGCTCAGGTTTGTACATTGGAGAAGGAGTTCTGTCACTCCACCCACATTGCTCGCAATGGTAACGGGGTCAAAGGGCAAAAGCCAATGAATACTAAGGGAAAAAAATATCTGGAGGTGGAGGTGTCACTTCTTTTAGTATAAACAGTGAATAAAAATCAAGGCTCTTTAATGTAAGCATATTTGTTCAAATTAGGAATACAACAGCATGGGTCAATGAAACCATGCCTCAAACTGACCAGAGATGAGAATGGATGGAAGGCAGGAGACACAGAGTCAGGGTCATACATGGATCTTCAAAAGCATGTTGTATTTTCTCCCAAGCATTTTAAATAATCCCTTCCCCCTATTCACATTCAGACTGTTACAACCATCATGTTTGCCTTCAAGCTCTTTTCAGTTCAACACTGTGCATATCATATCTACTTCAAGCACTGCTGCTAATTGTTATATTTATTATGATGCTTTGAATTAATGCTTTCACCTTCACATCATGTTAAGCAGCCCTCCACAACCACACACCAGTAATTAACATAGACACAAAGAGAACACACTGGTAACACAGCTTTTCTGAGTTGTCCCTGAAAGACAGATGTGCAGCAAACCAATTTCACTTTGAAATAAAGTGATCAGGTAGATTTCAGAGGAATTCATACAAGTAAAAAAAAAGTAAATCTCAATGAGATATTAATAGAAATTTCTACACCTAAAGTAAGTTGTGAACTGACGCAGGATGATAAATTTCATTCTCTATTAAATTATTTCTATGAAACATTCCTGAAAGGCTGTGAACTCTTCCACAGTGTTTTCATTCTTTACTCAGTTCAATATAGAATGCTAAAAAGAGAGGAAGTCTTCTGATACATTCTATATGACTTGTAAAGAGAAGAAAAAATATGCCTCATGAGAGTCAGGGGCTTATTGACTGTATAAATAGTGTTGTGACTGCATTATTTTCTGGATGTAAACCAAGTCTCTTGCCTCTCCCAGTTTAATCCTTTCCCAGCTGAAATCACTATGGAGCAACAACATGAAAAGAAAATATTTCTTACTGAAAATGTGAAAATGTATGAACAAAAAGAATACCAAAACAAATCCAGACCAAAGCAAAGCAAACACCCCTCCTTCCCCTGAAGGATACAATAGTAAAAGTATGAACTATTGGGTAGAAAATAATATTCTGGAGATGAGAAGTTTCTAGTGAGACCTTATTTCAGCCTTCCAGTACTTGAAGGGAGCATACAAGAGACCTGGAAAAGGATATTTTACAAGAGCATTCAGTGACAGGATAAAGGAAATGGCTTTAAACTGAAAGAGGGTATATTTAGATTAGACATTAGGAAGAAATTCTATACAGTGAGGGTGGTGAGGCACTGGAACAGACCCTGACCAGAGAAGTTGTGGATGCCCCATCCCTAGAAGTGTTCTAGAGCAGGTTGGATTGAGGTTTTGGGCAACCTGGTCTAGTGGAAAGTGTCCCTGACCATGGTGGGTAGCTTGGAATACAATGGTCTTTAAGGTCCATTCCAACCCCAACCATTCTATGATTCAGAAGTTGCCTAAGAGGTTGAATATACTTGTTGATCCCATTGAAAACTAAACCCTTTTTCCTGATTAAGAGTCACTACTACACACAATTGCTTGAACCAATGCATGGAGAGCAGGCACATCATGCAACCAAGACAGCCCTCTAAGTAAGGGTTACAATATTTGTTCTGCTGTAACTTGTGGTGAAACCACATGCTAAACTATAGAAAAGCATCTTGTGGTCTGAGACAGCCTCCTTTACTCTTATGAAATACAAACAGGCTGGTTCTGCCGCTGCTGGAAATTGGTTATGCTGCATTAAAATCTAGCAATTCTTCTATTTATTTTTTGCTTGTGCCTTTTTATTAGGCTGTCCCAGAGCACTTTAGGAGTCAAACCTGTAAATGTCTCTTATTCTAAAATAAACAGCACTCAGCATGACACAAATGACATTTTGTGAGGCTCCAGGAGGGAGTAAAGTAGCGCTGCCACAGAGTTCCCTCTTCCTCTCTAAATGTCATTACTCTGTTTGATATACTAACATAAATCACTTATCCAGTTGGACAGCACAGCAGGTCACTCTAGAAGGGATTTCAGATAATGAAATATGTTTCACACACATAAACACAAACTACAAAGCAATGCCAAATGGTTCCTAATGCTTTACTTACTCAGCACTCCCTTTGCCAGGTTTATTGTTCATGTACATAATAAACTTGATTGTATGCTGCTGCAGCCTTGTTTATTGGTTCAACCACTCAAATTCCTTCCATATTCATTTTGGTGTTCATCATTTTTCTGTCCACATGTTGTACAGAATCCAAACAGTTGAAACAATATTATGTGCACACTTGGTGGAGTACATATGAGGAATATACTGAGGTTATTTTCCTGTACCTGTTAAGGGCAGAACAAAAAGATCTCAAAGAGTATTAAACTGCAGTCCAGTAGTTTTCTGTGAGATTTAGGAGTTCTATTCAATCTTTTATCAGATAAATCAGAAATACAGAAACATCTATGGATACACATATGCATCAATGAATCAATACCATTCAAATACAGGTCAATTGTATCAATCTCTTTTGTCACACAAACTGTCAGAATCCAGAAATGACAGACAAAAAACCAATTTCCACCATTAACATTCACTGGTAGCATTAAAAAAAAAAAAGAAAAGAACAAACAACAAAAATCAAAAGCCAACACCCCCAAATAGTTCAACAGAAAAAGCATGTGATGTGTTATTCGTTGGCCTATGTGGCTGCCCATTTTATTCACTTTTATTTTAAAATCCCTCGTTTTTATTCACTAGGCAGTATAATGAGAAAGAAGATATAGTGAAACATTTTCAGTAAATTTTAGAGGAAAAGGAAATAGTCAGAGAGTCATCTGAATAAATAATAACTAGATACTTCATTCTCTCTTCTCTGAGAAAAAGAAGTATGGTAGATTTTCTAATCTCTTGTTGCATCCAGCAAGCTTTTATTCTATATTATCAGATCAAAGGACTTCTTCCATCATGGAAGAAGTGTTCCAAAACATCTGCAAGAGAATAACCTTGGCATCTACTTAGTCACCTCAAAATTGCACATTTCATGATGACTACCAAACATTTGATGGCAAAGCAGTTAGTATGACATTATTGCTGAAGACATCATCTCTAGCTCTCTTCTACATTCCTGACTTTTTTGGTTCTGTTTTTGTATTCATTCTAGGCTTTCACAGGGAAAATGAATAGTTCTAGGGCACCACTTCTTACTGAATTTGTTGTATTTTGGAGACCAAACCCTGACTTGCCTTTTACTGCTATCACAATTATGTTCTAGGAACACTATCCCTTCTGCCAGGGGAAAAAAACCCAAATGTGCAAAGCAGTTGGCATTATTTTTTTTCTTTAAATTTCTTTGAAGCTAGGAATCAAAAGCACATCATCTGACAAGATGAATATATTTGTGAAGTATTAGTAAATTAAACCAAATGCTTAATGTACGTGTTATTAATTTAATCTTATACTTGGGCAAGTGCAACCAGAAAGGGCGTAAGAATTGCATGCTAAGAATTATAAAGCTGGCAGCTACCATATGGTTGAAGGATGGGTGCAATTCCATAAGCAAATGTATGGTCTTAGGCTGCTCTCTCTGTCCCAGGCATTCTCTCTTCTCCTATCTCTTGTGCTATTTTCAGCACATTTAAACATACTATTTGCCATCTTTAACTTCTGGCCATCTCCTCACATTACAGGATAAAATGAAATAGCTGCAATTGAGTTGCTCCCAGAATGAGGATCTGCACAGATTTACTGGGACTGCCCTACACTTAAATTCATTTTGCATGATGAGAGGCAGATTTAACACTTTTAGTATAGAAGCATGTCCTACAGTGCTAAAGTCATCATACTGCTTTTGGGACACAGCATCTCAATGTGAGGTGGGATTGTGTAAGCTCTCAGACATCAGTAAGGCTCTGGTATTGGCTGCTTGTGTTATGAGGTAAGATAATGGCTTATTAAAACCACTGTTTGCAGTAGAGTGCAACACTGGGGCATCATAAAAGTATTATGGAGAAAAGAATGAAAGATGTCCTCCCCTCTCTGGAAAAAAAATATAGAAAAAGGAATTCTGGTGAAATATCGATAGCACACTTAGCGCATTCTACTCTATAGTCTTCTGCTTTCAGCATGTAAATTTAAAAAATACTGCAGCACTTATCTGTGAAGCAAAATTTTAGGCACTATAGTTACAAAGCACTTGAAATCTTCATATATTTTTAATCAATCCATATAAATACCTTTGTTGCACTCTGAATTAGTAAACTCTTTGGAATATTTGCAGTACTGTAAATCCTTAATGTCTTATTTAATTGTCTAACTGATCAATATATTTACTTTATGATTACATAAAATCACCCTGGCCAGCTTTTATGGCCAAGAATTTATGTTCATGGCAACAATTATTTCCATGTCTTGGCCCCTTTGTTTTTAAAATAAATTTACATGCTTAGACCCTTACTAACATTAACTTTAGACACCTAATTTTTCCCTCTTTTCCAGTACTAGAGTGCTTTTAGATATTTGATGCATTTATTTTTTTCCTAATGATGATTTTGCATTATTTGTATTTCTGTTCTGACCTGTTCACTACAGGACAGATTTCATTTACATGATTTCACATAACTCACCTTCCAGGTTGAAGGTGGCATTTTCCAAGGATACTTATCATGCGCAATTTTAATGGCAACTTTTAAAGGTAGCATTTACCACACTACTTGCACCATTGCTAATTTTTGCTACAGAGAAATTACTGTCTTCTCCTAACCAACTTGAAGAATTGTCACCTGGGAAACAGAGTAGCAGTGCTATTGTAACACTTTCTACCTTGTAACTAATGCAGAAAAAAAATGGCTTCTCTTATGTTTATTTAGTAAACCTTAAAGTTCAGATAAAATACAGCAACTATCAGGAACGTAGATTCTTTTCTGTATTGTGTGTAATGATTGGAATACAGTTTTCCTTTAACTACTGAAAAAATTCTTAGTATTCAGAAAGCCATTCACCCCACATTACTTGCTTTACAAGATTTTCATTCCTCTTATCATGCAATGTATCTAAAGATGCTGGCAGATGGAGAAAAGTAATGGGTAGACAAGAGCCACGAGTAATATATATATATATATATATCTGTTGAAACTTCTACCTTGCTGAGAAGAGTTAAATATCTATCAACTGTTTAAGAAAGAACGTTGTGACTTCTGCTTTTCGTAATCTCTTTCCCATCTTTCTCGCCCAAACACACTGTACTTGTTTCCTGCACATGCACTGGCTGCAGCAATCTTCCTTACAAGGGCTTTATGTAGAACCTTCCAGAAATCTTTGGTATTGCTATCTTTTGCATAAAAACAACAGAGGGCTAAATTGTTTAAGCTGTCATTTCTTCCATCTCCTATAAATCAATTCTTCATGCCAAGGGGGATGTTGACATTTCCTTTGGTACACCAGTATTGATTCTTATTGCTGAATGTCTATCACAATTCTTTTACTATTGAGGTGAAATATTTGAAAATTGCTGTAAGCTTTTTCTTTTATACTATGAGATGGGAAAGACCTCAAATTGTGCTGTGAGCTTCCTGCACTGAGTTTTCTCTCCTGCTAATCCTTGTCCAATTTTTAAGTGATAAAGTGGGATCAAATTTTCAATGTGCAAGGATATAAATGGAGATTTACACAACAATAATAAAGACAAGAAGGTGAAAACAAGGTCAGGTCAGCATGTGGAGATAGATGTGGGATTAAACAAGAGTTAATAGTTATGTAAATTCTCAGCAAGGGTTACACACATGGTTTCACCTGAATTCAGTTAGGTGGCCATTTGCTAAATGCAACCTCCAACTTGTACCAGAGATGGCATCACAATTCAAAGGCAGGAAGTCACTCATCAAGCTTTAAGAGGGCATATTAAACAGGGAAAATTCACTTTCTGGTTCTCACAGCATGACAACATGTATTGTGGAGTACAGACTGATACTCTGACAAAGAGCTGGCAAAAAAAATATTTTGCATCTCTTTGAAAATTGATAGGATGATTGAGACTAACCTGGTGGATACCACACTCTAATTGCTGAAATAGGAAACCTGCTCAATTCTAATGGTTGCTCTTGATCCATATCTTAATTTCAGACCCCCAGATTTCCTTTCAGTGGTGTGGAATCCCAGAGCTGGTACTGTAGCTTGAAATTTGCATTGCATAAACAGAATACAGAAGCTCAAACACTCATCTTCAGTTACATCTCCAAAATGTCAATATCTGCAGTGATTAAGTGAGTAGAGCATGAAGCTCTGGCACTGTTGCATGTTTTTATGTGGGTTAAATCCATAATTAGAAGTGCAACAAGCTCCTATCTGAAAACCACCAAAAGAGTGCAAATCTCTAGATGACCTCATAAAGATCAGCATTTCATAAGAAACTGCATTAATTTAAGATAATTTCTATTTGAATTAAGTTTAAAAATTTAGTAGCCTTAAATTACAGTGTCATTATTATCTTTGCTGCTGATTCAAAGTAAGTCTAATCAGACACTAATAGCTGGATTCTATTCTTTTATCAGCAATAATAACAAGATATTGTTTTCTCTGTAGTTTGTTAATCACCAATATGAAAACAGTGTTCATTTAGTTTACAGAAGATAATTGTATTTGAAAACCACAAGTCAACCAGAGTATGATAGCTGTGTCTTCAAGACACTCCTTCCCACTTAGAAGGAGCCATTTCATAAACCAGCACAGTTTGGACCTCGGGTCACCTTTTTGGAATACACCTGTGGAAGTAATGCTCCAAAATGTAAAAATGTCTTAAGTTTAAGCTGGCAAAGATGGGTCCCCACTGAAGTCATAATTGCCAAAGAAACCATTTTCAAACAGATATTGTAGCGCAAAAATGTGTAATTAATTTTAAGAACTATAAACAAAGATTCATTCCAGCTCCATTAAGTTCAGCTTGAAGTGGAATGATCATCAGAGATGGCAGCCAAAAAACATACTCAGGTTAATTCATCTGATGGAAGAGGACTGTATCAATTACTAAACGAGCACTCTTTTCAGTGTGCCACTTAAAGAAATAGCTTTTTTGTCCTAGCTTGTTTTATACCAGGCAGTCTTTAATGACTACATGTAAGTCTTAAGCTTGTCTATTACCTATATATATGTGTGTATATCTATTAAAAATTGATCAAAATATGCAACTCTTTTCTGACAGATCTCACCAAACAAAGGACATAAGGAATTTAAACTGAATTATTTTATTTAGCAAATTGGAAAAACATTGCTGTAAATTGCGAAACTTTTTTTAAGAACTGGAATTTAATGAAAGTAAGGAAACTAAATGATCAACCACATTATTAATTCAATTAACTTTGCTTTTATGTGTACAGATACTCTAGATGTCATCAGTCATGCACAGAATGTAGGATCATAAACAGGACAGCCAAGTGGATCTGGGGCAGGCTACAGCAGCAAGTCAGTATCTACCACAAGTTAAGTCATTAGTGTTGGATATATCTTAATGATTATTTTCACTGTATTATGAGACCTGTATTTTGTCATTCTAGTCTTACAAACACAGGGTTGTATTTTATATTTTAGAATCTGATATTTAAAAACATTAGTCATATAGAAGTGTTAGTGTTGTCTCCAAACTGTTCTCAGTGTCTGCTATGCTATTGATGAGTGTAAAAGTCAAGACAAAACAAAAAAACATAGCTATATAACATAGAAATATTAGTATTTTGACACTATTAATATTAAAATAACATGCAGATAATTATTGTATTAATAAATAAGAAAGTTAAGATGTCCTAACTTCAAGAGGCTGAAAATGTTATATAAAATTTCTAGAAGGTTTTCATGTACAAATTAAGTAGAGCTGATAATATAAATGAAATGATTGTTTCTTTCTTATTGAAGCAATTATAATTTATTTAATTTTGCCCCTTCTATATTCTTCTCATTGTGAATTCAATGCTAACTATTGCTTTTTGCTTTCTAAACCAACATATTTTGGAACTATGAAAATTTACAACTGAGAATAATTACACAGATTTATTGAATAAATAATTATTCAGAGTTATTGAACTGCACTACAGCAGACTGTAGGTCTCACAGAAAAGGACTATGCAAAAAGAGCCTGCTTGAATCTTGCTTTAGCAAAGGCCTCAGGTATACATTTTATTATAATTCTGTTGTCAGCTCCCACTAACTTCAAGGTGATGAACATGCACTCAACTGCTTTGGTGCACAATTGTAGGATTCAGGTTCTTGAAATAAAGCACGTGTTTGCAGGCCATATATAACATGAATTACGGTTTACCTTAGGATGTCTGACTGCAAATTATGGGAGTTCAGAAGAAACTCAGTGAGCTGTGCAGCTGATGGCAGGGCAGAAAAGGTAACTTGGCCAAGTTTTGCAGTGTAAATTGTTCCAATTCACGAGTCCAAGAAATTAAAATACCTGTGTGCTTCTTTGCTTGGACTGAAACTCCCTAGGTTGCTGCAACTGTTCCTACACATGCTGCACAAACTGCCCATGTCTGAACAGGTTGATAGCAGCAGTCTTTCTTAAGCCTTATTGAATCCAGGAGCTCAGGAAAACAGTGCTGAAATCTTGCAAAAATCTCAGTCAAAAGTCCTTCAAAGGTTTCCATTTCAACCCAGCTTCCTGAGGCTAAAAAGCTGCTCACACTGATGTAAAAATTTTTTGTCTGCTCCTTTAAAGGAATTAGTGGCAAAACCCAAAACAGAGAAGTTCCTCTGTAAATTCATGCAGCCTTTCAGACCTCTTGGGGATGAGACTTTGGCATCTGATGAGAGAAACTCAGCTCAGTGTCAGAGGAACACCTGCATATGCTCATGAGCATAACCACAGGTGTCTGCAAGCATGTGCAGCATCTTGGGATCTAAGTGACAGCTCAGAGTGGTTCCAGACCCTTAGTTTTCTTTTTTTTGTGAGATAGGTGGCATTACAAGAATAAATAGTGTAATAAAATTTCTGCCATTGATACTAGCATCTATTGAAAAATTTGTATCTTTATTATTTATTAAAGTTTAGAATAATAAGATCAATAAACAGAATTTGGACTTCAATATCCAGGCATGTATTCACATAGGCAAAATATAACTTGTGGGCAGTTACACTGTCTTTTCACTACAGCAGAATTTTTTTTTGTTTTAGCACAAATTTTCTGTGTTTAAGAACCAGAGACTTTAAGAAAAATACTATCACATTAGAATTTATTATAAAAGCCTCATCGTTATCAGAAATTTAAAATTTCTTATAAAAAAGCCTCATCAATTTACATATATAAATGAACAATCAAGATCAGGACAATAACTGTATTTTTCATAACTTTTCTACAAAGTTTGTATGCATATGCTACTGTGAGTCTACATGTTTCCCTCCTTCTTACTTCATCTAACAAACCATCCTCCAAAATTTCCCTGTTGCCATGTTAGCTCATACTGATTTTCGATATGGCTAGCAAAACTTCAAAGTCTACTTATAACTGCCTATATAACTTGTAAGTGCCCATATAGACACATGTACTTCCTTGAAATTTTTCCATATGACCAAAGAAAAATTTCAATTTATTTTTGTGTTTTAACCTATTCACGGAATTGAGTTAATCAGAAATGCTTATGCTAAGACTTAGATACATTTTTTAACTGATGACATGTTAATATACATATATAAGGCCAGCTGGTAAAATATAAAGAAAATATTTTCAGAGAAAAGCATTCTTCTCTGAAGAAAAGTTACAATATCTCATATGCCATATTTCCAAAAACAGTGAATATCCTACAATTAAGAGTTATGAGAGAAAATTTAACTGTTTAATTCAAGAAATTCCTATCAAGCTATCTTTCTCATTTATAACAGTCTTTGTTAGCCTTTCATGTAATTAATCTTTCCCACACAATATGTGCTTTCAATTTATATTCCTCACTAGATACGATTACATTATTCCCAAGAAACAGGAAGTTTTCAAATTAAAAACATGCACAGGATGGAAACATAACCCACATCAAATATTCTCCTAGAGTTCAGAAACCCTAAAAAGTCCAATAAAACTCAATTGTTTCTTGTTCTTGCTCAGCCATGGACAGCTCCTGTATTCTACTCAATCTGCTGGTTACTTTGCTCATTATAGCCTACTTTCCATGTCCTTGGTCTCGAGTTCATACACTCGAATTTGCATTTTGGCACAGCTTCACAGAGGAACTTAGGAGCTGTGGTTAAGTCTGCCCATTTTTTTTTTTATTTTTTTTTTTTTTGCTCTTGGAAGCACGTCATTTGTCTTTCAGCTATCCTGAATAGCCTGAGGTAAAAGACACCTCAAAAGAGGATGAAAACTAGTCACCCTGCCGAGAGAGTCAGCAGCAAGCTGTGCAGATGGGCTGACACCTTCCGGGCTGAATGCATTCTTAAGTCTTTTTGTGAAGTCACCTTGGCACACCCACCCAGCCTAGTAGGGAGTGCTTAGTGACAGTCAGGAGATTCTACATTGTGACAGGTAAACAGACATGCCTGTGGATTTTCAAGTAGGTTTCATATGTTCTTATTACAAAAATGATCATAACCACTGCATGCATGTCCTCTAGTATGTAAACTATGAACGTACCACCAAACTATGCCTTCTCTCCTTTTCCTAGCAAAATAAATGGATAAGCATTTCATCTATGAATTTCAGAAATGTAGAGCTCAAGAGTTTTCTTATTCTTCCAATTCCCTAAGCAAGTTCTAAGCTCATTATGTCTGTAGCTAATGTGTGATATGACATTGATGGCATTCTCTCTCCTTTGGAAGCACTCATCTAGCACTGAAATCTGATCTTGTATCAGATTTCAAATTCTGCAGTACTGAAAGGATATGTATAGGGACATAAAGGAAACTGGTAACAAAAGAGGAAAACTTTAGTACAATTGCAAAATAAAAACTTGCACCTCCCCTGCATATCATAACACCCAGAGTGGAAATTTGTAGTGTAGAGAATGGTGGAGGGGAAAGTTGTGCCAGCTGGAATGCTTATCCTATATCAGTGGATGCTTTCTGGGTTTCTAATGGAGTCATAAGTCTTTAATAGTTTATAGAAATGTCCACACACAATTTTACTCTTGTTAGATAATTAAAACCAGCTACACACTTAATATTTTCATTTATATACATGCAGTGTAATCTTGAGCCAAATGCATCATGGTGTAGTTTCACTCATTTCATTTAATTACACCAAACCTAAAGCTGGCCTTTTATAATTGTTTCCTGACAAGAGTTTTAGAAGACTAAACTATGAAGTAATATTTATAAAGATCACTACAAGTGCAGACTCAAAATTACTGCATTGGGTTCAAAGCTAGAGGTCTCTGGTTGAGTAAGCAAATCTCTTTGTTCCAAGCATAATTGTTTGAGTCTGACTCACTTTGTTCTATTTAAAGGCTAACTGAAGACTTTCAATATTGAGGTTACTTCAATAAGTTAGTATCACCTTTTCCATTTAGCAAACAGAGAATGATACTACACTTCATTTGCAATTTGTAGTGCTAGAAAGTATTTGCTAGATGTTAAGAGTTGTCTTTAATTTCACAATTCAAATACACATATTTTTCTTTTCAGAAAAAATATGTCTTTGTATTACTTTATTCATTCTCTGCATCTTTAAAGATAGACACAAGAGCCATCACGCTTTCCGCAGCTTCTATGAAGGACCAAGTGCAAGCAATGAAGAACCTGAGAGCTCCTCTATGTTTTGGGGACCCACACCATTAGTACATACAACTAGTTAAGCTTAAACCATACTTAAAAAGGTGAATTAAATAGGTGAGGCTATAAAAAAACCAAAACATCAGTAAATGCACTTAGCCATCTGTTTCCTTGCTCAGTTTCCTCTACTAATAAAAATTTTAAAAATAGTACAAGAACAGAGAAGGCTAGTAGAGGTGTATCAAAATCACCACAGTAACACAGCTGCTTCAGCCTCAGATTAGGCAGCCAAATGATCAAAAATGGACACAAAAGCAAACCAAACAATATGCACTATTAGAAAATGAATAGATAATGAAACAAACCATTGAGCCACAGTACAAAATTTGCACTGTAAGAGCATCTTGGAAAATGCAGGTCTGGTCTCCCTCTCAAAAAGATCCACAGAAAGCAATGACCCTTATCAAAGATATGAAATGGCATTAGAATGAGGAATAACTAAGCTTATTAGAAGTATTCAGCTTGGAAAACAAAACCCCTTACCTCTTTGTCTATGTCCTCCTACATTTAATTCTAGAAAACACTTTTTTGACAGTGCCTGTGATGGGAATGGACCACCTAGGTATTTTTCTTTTTTATATGCTTTGCTCATTCCTACAGTGCAGCTGATATAACTCCATTTTGTGCTTCTCCTCTCTCCACAAGTCCTGACTCTGGCTTCTCAGGCGTGTTCTGACTCTTGCATTCTGTGGTTGCAGCTACTTTGCTGAGGCAGCTGCAGCTTAATCGAGCAAGATTAAAGACAGGTCTTACAGCACAGCTGAATCACATTGCAGATCACTGACACTCTAGAGATGAAGCAGTTTTAGTGCTGAAAATTCCCAGCTTGGTTTGAATAATATACATATTTGACAACATTTTTTTTGTCAGGGTTTCCTGAGTGTTGTGTCGTAGTGCAGAAAAGTCAACCCACTGAAGCACTGCTGACCATTTCTACATTCAGTGATTTCTGAGACTGGAGTCTTTGCTGCAATGCTTCTCAGTAGCTGCCCCTCTTTGATGCCCTGAAAACGTACCACAAAGCAATTATTGTAGTTTAACCCTTGTCAGCCACCAAGCCCCAGTGGGCTTGCTCACTGCTCCCCAGTGAGAGGGGGGAAACAATCAGAAGGGTAAAAATGAGAAAAGTCTTTCATTGAGGTAAAGACAGTTTAACACAGGAAACAAAAACCACATGCACAAACAAAATAAAAACAGAATTCATTCACCACTTTCTATGCCATCCCCAGGAATCTGAGGCATAGCCCCATACTAACTACTGTGAAGAAAATTAATTCTATCCCAGCCAAAAGCATCACAGCAGTGATAGTGGCCACTCCAGGAGTCATGTGAAGATTGCCCATTTAGATACAATTTGCTCATCACATTCATCTTATGTGCTCAGTATCACCAAGTGGCACCAGTGTCCAGTGCCTTCCTTTGAGATTGAAAGGTACACAAGGCCACAGCATTCTCAAAATGTGTTTAGAATTCCTCCTGTGCAAATGATGGCAAAAGCTCAATTAAATAAAAAAAAATAAAGAAATCTTTTTTTTCTTAGACTTTGGAGAATTGTCTCTGCAATAAACTACGAGCAAAGACTATGAAACAGGCTGAGCTGTAACATCAAACCTCCCAACACTTTTTCATTATACCCACCCCCTGTCACACAGATTGCAACAGTTTCAGAAAAGCTGTGGAAAGAATTAAATTGCTTGGGCGGGCTTTGCCTTCTAAATGTAGAATAAAGAGTTTCACTGGTTAGGCACTGAAAAAGTGCTTCGAAATTGCAAACACTCATCAGCTTTCAGCACAAGAAAAGCTTTAAAGGTACAGTAGTCATTTTAATAGTATCTCAAGTATCCTTTTCTGATTCCAGAGGGCAACAGTGGAGAAGGGAGCATTCATTTTTCATTAGTAGATCATACATCTGAGACAGGTGGAGTGACATGAGGGCCAGAAGTGCTCCCCAGATGCATAATTGCAGACACCCTGAGGAGCATTTACCTACTTTCCAGATGCTCACTCTCTTTTTTTATGGAACAAAAAACTTGACCACTCTATCATTAGTCCCCTTTATGCTTTATAACTGAGTAAGTCAAACTGTACAGTTGGTGATTTAGAAAAACCGACCAACCAAACAAAAAGAGTAATGAGGTCAAGGAAGTCAGCAGGAAAGAGGTAATATCAAAATGAGACACAAACCTTCAGGCCACTTATCTAAGGCCTGATCTTGATAATGCTAACTTCAGCAGCTCTTCCTTCTGGGTAGACAAACACTCCGAGCTGGGTTGCCCTTGTTCAAAGTCATTAAGGATCAAGCTACTATTTTCAGAAAATATCCTGAATCTAGAAGGCCATTGACCTCAGCATTTCTCTGTGGAAGAAAAAAAGATTATTGACGTAAAATCTTTCCTACAAACCTCAGTTAGGAGAAAGATTATGGCTGTAGGAGGGCACTAAAAAGATGAAATTTTGATATATATTATATACACCATTTTGAGATAGCTTCTCTGTGGAGGTTTCACAAAGGCACATAGAAAGTTCAGGGAAGGTGAAAAAGGTGGTCATTGATGTCATTCATGTACTTGTATTGCAGGAGTGCTGACTATATGCTTGTAGTATTCACCAGCCACTACCAAAAACCAACATGATAGAAGGGCAACTGGATGGGGGGACTTTGGGACTCTGAGGTAGTTAGTCTTCCCCCTCTCAAACCTCACAGATAGTGAGTTTTATGCCACAGAATCCTGATTCCTATTTCCTCATCAACAAACCAGTCCTTTCTGTCTCCCTGTCATCACACATACCATCCCCAGCTGGTCTGGCATGCCATAGTCAAGAGAGTAAGGGAGAAGATGGGATGCAACAGTAGTGCTGTGGCATATTTCAGCTGGTGGGGCACATTTGCTTGTTACAGGCTGGCACTTTGGCCTCTGCCCTGTACGTCTTCATTCACACACTCTGATATGCTATCACTTTAGGCAGATACTTCGAGGATCTGCAAATATTGTTAGCAACATTCTCCTTCAGAGCCTCTTCTATATCTTCTGCCACTGCTGTTCTGTCACTCCCAGTGCAATTTGACAAGCTGCAGACAGCAGCCGCGAACATTAGATAGTTCTTGCAAACTCACAGGGAAATGATACTGAAGAACTGGTAAAAATTTTGAGTTGTTTTAACACTTAATTCCATGCAGCATTTAAGCTGTTCTGGAGACCTGAGCAATGGGGAGTGACATGACCACTGAAAAGGACTTGTAGAATGTGAACTTTCTCTAAGTCATCTGAGCAGCAGGATGCAGCCCAGGGTTACAACAAGTAATCACACAGGTCTCTCTGCACGTGGCTAGACCACTGCTCCACTGACATTTTCACCTTTTTCTATATATGTGGAATTGTTCTTTTTGGATGGGAAAGTGAAAAAGTACTGATATCTTGCTATGTAACATAGTCAAATATATATAATTTGCAGTCTGACAGTAAAACCACAGAACTGCATAAAGTTTATGCAGGCTGGGGTTTTTTCAGTTTATTTCTTTCCTTCTTTCTCAGACACAAAGATGATGCACAGTAGAAAGATGAACCAAACACTTGTTTGAATAATTAAACACGTGAATGTAAAACTAACCCTAAGCACATTTCAAAAAAATTGTGAAAAGTTTCCTTCAAGGGAAAGATGTCCCAATCACAGATTCCTTCAAGGGACAGAAATTCCCATCCTGCATCTAATCTAAGCTGCACAGTGAGGACATCTAAGTTGCAGTGAGAACATATAAACTATGTCTTTATGATATTATAATTATTTGCCATTAAGATTATTACAGAATCATAGAATAATTTGTGTTGGAAAGGATCCTGAAAGGTCATCTTGTTCTATGGATGCTGAAAGCAGGTAGGGAGCACAGTGCCTGTGTGAAACTAGTTCTCATTCTGGCCTGAGAAATCATAAGGAGGAATCCAAACAGTCCTTGGAGAAAGACAACAACCTCTGCAGGTATTATTTAGATCCTTGTTATTTACTTGCAAGAGGCAGTCAAAGGGTGTAGTACCCAATTGACCAGTGATGGTGATGTGCTGGTTTAATGACCAATGAGAGTTTTACCTCTCAGACCTTCTCAGACCTGTCTATAAAAGAAGATCTGGAATAATAAAACTTGCTCTCTTGGGCAACTCAGCTAAGAGAGTCTGTGTTGTACTTTGCCATTCCTAATATAGTGTGACATTGTTCAACCTCCCAGCAGTGAGCAGGGGCAACTTCAACTCCATCAGGTTGCTCAGAACCCCATCCAATCTGACTTTGAGTCTTTCCAGGGATGGGGCACTGCCACCTCTATGGGAAACCTGTTCAGTGTTTAATTCTGCCTTCTTTAGTTCAAAGCCATTCCCCCCTGTCCTTCTACAAAAGGCTCTGCTAAGAAGGTTGCCCCCTTCTTTCTTATAGGACCCGTTAAAATACTGAAAAGCTGCAGTAAGGTCACCCCAGAGTCTTTTCTACAGGCTGAATAACTGCAACTCTTTCAGGCTTTCTTCATAGGAGACATGTTCCAGTCCTCAGATAACTTTTGTGGCACTCTCCTGAACCCGTTGCATCAGGTCCCTGTCCTTCCTGTGCTGGGACCCCGGAGCTGGATGCAGCACTGCAGGTGTGGCCTCACCAGAGCAGAGCAGAGGGGCAGAATCCCCTCCCTCACCCTGCTGGCTTCCCTCACTCTGCTTTGGATGCAGCCCTGGATATGTTTGGCCTTTGGGGCCCTGAGTGCACATGGCTGGGTCATGTCCTGGCTCTGATCACCAGGACCCCCAGGCCCTTCTCAGAAGGGCTGCTCTCAATCCTTTCATTGTCCAGCCTGTATTGATACTGGGAGTTGTTAAACCTCATGAGGTTTCCATGGGCCCCCTTAAGCTTGGTCAGGTCCCTCTGGATGGCATCCAGTCCTTCAGATGTGTCAATAAATACATTTTGAAAAAAAATTATGTCATCAGACAATAATAGAGAGGAAAAAATACCTGAATTGAGCAGCAATAAATAATAAAATGTTTAGGTAAGAGGCTCTAACATCATGATGCAAAACTGTGACATCCAATAAGAGATTGCTCTCCATAAAAGATCCATATGCTAAAATCAACCCTTTAGATTGCATATATACTTCACAGTGAATGCTCAGAAAGCTCTGTGGAATGAGAATCAATAAACAGAATCAGTTATTTGGCTTTTCTACAATTACTGATATGTTGTTAAAGGTGATACACAGTCTTCAAAGCTTCTGACAGCAAAGAAGAAGCATTTACCATTATGCTGAAAATTGCTTTTTGAGAAAATATGTGATGGTCTATATGTGTCTCTGAAAAGCATATTAAGCTGATATCAAAGTCATTCTTCCAAGTATTAATGCTGAATATCATCGATACCGATGAATATCAAGGTCTTAGTTTTTACTCTGCTTTTATATGTGCAGAGGAGTAGAAAATCAATCAAGAATGTCAGTCAGATTTTAATCACTCTAATAATTAAGTAAAGGCATTGTCCCAGCTCTCTGATACACTATTCATAAGTACACGCTGCACTTCTGTTAAGAAAGATGGTAACTCTGGTAGATCATTTACATTTGACTGGTATTTCCCAAGGGAAAAAGCTTTTGGCAGAAAAGAGAAATCAAAATTTAGAACTTATATGAAAAAGTAGTAGTAGCAGAATAAACACCATTTTTTATAGTACTGGTTGCAAGTACCATGGAAAGATGGCATTTAAGTTCTTTTTTAATGAAGAAAATGTAAAAGTCAGTGACAAGGAATAAACTGCAACAATTTTGACTTAACTTCAAAGTTTTGCATTTGAGGACCATATGGCTCATTGCCCTAAATCTGACATGAGCACCAATGAGAGTTCTATGAATGATTTTACAGCATCATATAGCCACATTCCTGCAACAAGCCCACACAGATGGATTCCCAGCATAGACAGCCTTAGATATGTCACTGGCACTCTATGTGGTCATCTAACTGTATAGGAATCATTGCAGAACCAGGATCTCTACACTTGAAACCCCCCATTAGATATCACAGGTTGGTAATATGCATTTCTTGCTCAAGAAACAAGTCTGAAAAGGTAACACTATGAATGAGACACTATCATGCAGAGACTTAATTACCTGAATACTTGATTTACTGTGTCATTTGCCCCTTCAGGATCCTGGGACTTCATCAACACTGTACCTCAGAAATCAGAGAGGAAAAATGGTGGGTCTTTGCCTTGCTGAAAACCAGGCACCCAGAGTTTGTCATGTAAAAGAGATGATATGGAGCTTATCTAATTTTTGAGGGAGTTACACTCACATTAATCTTTCTATAATGACTCTTATCTACAGAAAACTGCATGAAGTATTCCTAGAATATAAAATAAGGAGACTACTTCAAAAGACACACAGTAATTCTGTGGGTAAGAAATATAGATTATAATCTCCATCAAATAAAATTATTCAGGATGACATTTGCAAGATAACTTGAGAGAACATTTTTTAACAAGATGCACTCACAATTTTTGACAAGATGTACTTATTAATGACTGTTTATTACAATAAATACAAGATATTTAGAAAAAAATGGGTCATATTTATTAAATGTAGATGGAGTTTCAAACATTATAAGTAGCCTAAAATCTATTTGATCATGTTTTAAAATTCTGAAATCACATTTCCTAAGTTTTGGGTTCACTTTTTCTCCAATGTATGTAAACTCCAATATGAAAGAACAAATCATAACAACCTAGATAGAGGCCAGTCCTGAAACTGATGTATCAGATAGACTGATTTCAGTTGGTGAAAGTATGCAAAGATGCAACTATGGCACCTTTCATAGCTTCATCATAGTCCAGATCTGAGCAAGAGTTTGGACTAAAGTGTTTACTGCAGCCTAGACTTTTGCTTTGAATACCTGGTGGACTTCAAAATCGTCTCTTGAAATAGTCTCCTAAAATTATTACCAGGCTTTTTACAGAAGAGAAAAACATTTCTAAAAGGAAAAACATTTTACTGAGAACAATCCTTGGAATGAAACAATATGGTAAGCAGAAACAGTACAAATAGAAATAGTAAAAATTGGAGCCAAGAAAGGCACAGCTAGTGAAGTGTTGAGCTCATTCACCTGGTGCACAATCTACTAAGTCTTAACTCCCCATTCCCAAATAAGACAGGCTGTCTTGGGTGCCTTCAGAACGGCTGGTCAACATCTTTGTTTTAGGATTTATAAAGATGTATCAAGCCTGCATGTACTTCTTTACCTAGTGAAATAGCATCCACTATTTAGTGCCAAAACTTTAGCAGCTGAGAATCAAGAGGGCAAGACATTGTGCTGTATGTCAACTACAACCTGA